TTGTCCACCTGTCCCACCTCAGAGTGTGTTATTTTCATTTCTGTCTGCCAGATGAATTTTACTGTGAAATATATCTTTTACTATGACTATATTTTTTTAGAGTGAGTTTTTAAGTCTGAATGACAAACTGTCGGGGTGAGTTGTCTCCTAACTCATTTATCTACTATTTTGCTTTTGTTAATCTACCATACATCCCTCTGTTGCATTTGTTAGTTCTATTTTTCAGAACTGCAACCTCTTTGTGGCTTTTCCTTAAATTTTCTAGAGCATCCGCTCTATTCCTAAAATGGGTGTCTTTATGACGATTACTTTGAACTCGTCTTCAGGCAGTTGGACAACAGCCATTTTTTAGGTTCTTTTTTTGGTTTGATTTTGTTCTTTAACTTCGGCAGTCTTCTGCTTGACACGTGGCCTGGTTCTGTGGCACTATTTCTGTGTATGTTTTATGTTAACTATATTCTAACGCCCAGGCTTTGGTCGTAAGGCAGGTGATCTCACGTGGACTCCAGAAGACCACCCCTCACACCCCCTTGCTGAGTTAATCACTTTAAGTGTGTCCTCCTTGTGGTCTAGAGCGCTTGTCTGCTGTGCTGAGGCAGCATTTAGTAGGGTTATTAACTCTGCCAGGCATTGACACATTGGTTGGCTCTGGCCTAGACCCAGGACTGAGGTATGCTCACTGGGATGGTATAGTGTGTCCAGTTGTGCGGAGACTCCAGCTAGCTGCTGTGGGGTGTCCGTGCAGGCTACGAGCTGCCTGCACTGCTGGTGGTCATGGACTGGCAGGCTGTACACTGAGGCAGGCCCTGTGGTGCCACACATGGGAAGCAGCTGCAGAAGGCAAATCCCTCTGCTTGCTAGTGAGGCTGTGGCACACAGGACCAGGAAGCTGGGCTGCTGGTGGTGGTAGCACACAACTCCCAGTCCCAGGGCGGCTGAGGTAATGGCAGTGATGGCAGCAGGAACAGGAGGTTCGAGTGTGCATATAGCCTGGCAAAGGGTGGGTATGGCAGGTGTTGGACCCACTTGCTTGCCGGGTCACAAAGGTCATGCTGGCTTAGGGCCTGGCTTTCTCGCTGGCATGCAGGTGGGGCTGACAGGCGCCGGCCTTCTTGTCTACCAGGAGTGGCCTCTAGATTGTGGTCACCCTGCAGTTAGCTTGGCTACCTGCGAGGGCAGGCAGAGCACTCTTCAGAGATTCACCCGCAGGTTCTGAGTGTAGTACATGAGGTGGGTACCACAGTGGAGCTCACTAGTGCTGAACCCAATAGTTTATTGCCTTCAGGCTAACCCTGTCAGGCTGATGCCCGGGATTCCTTCACCACGTCCAGCACACTTCAGACTGGTACTAGGTAGTGGGTTTGGGGGCAACCAGGTCTACTCATGGGCTAATGAAAGGAGAATTTTTGGTGTCTACTTTTCAAATCCGCTTTCTTGTGCTGATTTCCCTCTGACCCTCAATGCAGGGGGGTTCTGGGGCTTATCTTGCTATGCTAGATCAGGGAGTCGGGGTGCCAGGTGTTAGCTCACCCACTCCTGTGCACCCCAAGGTGTTCTTTCTTTAATGAGCCCCTCCCCGCCTGCCCTAAGTCTTGAGGAAGACTTAGATTTCAGGTCTGCTTCTGGGTAGTTATGTGATAACCATGCAGGTTAAGCACAAGCTCTCCCTATCCTGCCATCCTGAACCGTTCTCTGCTAATGTTTATTAGGTGTGGGCTCATTTACTTTTGAAGATGAATCACAAAACTGTTTTCTACTTGGTATGTTTATTTAGTTACCTAAATAAACTGCCAGAAATCAAGACAAGAACATTAATCTCATTTGGAATCAAGGCAGCTAAGTCAGGAGTTGAAATTTCCTTCCTCTACACAAAAATCAGATGCCTATAAAAACCTGCTCACTATCTCATCAGTCTAAACAGAGTGATGAAGATCATGCGCGGGATATTCTTGAAATTCTTGATTTTACATATTCTCTTGAGAGCACTATATTTTGCATAGAATACAAATTGAAGTGAAGTAATGCAAGAACAGTCTTGCCTGAAATTCATAATTTTTCTCAAGAAAACACAAATATTTTAGTAACTAAGTCTTTTTGTAAAAAGAAGTGAAATGAGCTCTTTAATAATGCTTTTAATTATGCTCAATGTGAGTTGTTGAAGAACTGAGAAACACTCCAAACCTACTGTGCATAGACTCACTGTTGGGTTGGTACTCACTAAAATTTACTATGATGTCAAAGTAGGATTTTGAAATAATATTTTGTTTGCTCTAGCCAAGTTTTAATCTAAAATATTAAGGAAAATTCAGTACTCATCCCATCAATTTGCATGCTTTGGGCTAGTTAACTTGTTAATCAAAGAAAGGGCTGTGCTTTCCAAGTATTAGATAAGTTATTTGGAAAAGAAAAAAAAAAACTTGTCTATGAATTTGTAGATGAAATGTTTCCAAGAAAAAAGCTATAAATGGGCCCTATTTTCGTTCTTTCCTATTATGAATGACAGGTTTAACATTCTTAAAAACCTTAAGAACATAATGACAACATCTTTAAAAGCCTCTAGGGATTATTGTACATTAATGGATCAGAGTGAGTAAATCATTTATCTATAAATTAATCTTTCTAAGCAGATTTCTATCCCCTTTCAATTTGAAAGCTAAACTTCTGAGTGTCCACCTCAGCAACTTTATGTGTGAAGAGCTTACATCTGTGAAAACATTTATAATGAAAACACAAAGACAACCCCTAGAGAAGCAAATAAAATGAGATTTAAGCATATAACAGCCTTTCTACAGTTACATTCCTAACAACAGTAGATTCTAATTTGATGCCAAATAGAGGTTATATAACAGAATCAGTGAGAACTCTAATTCTTTTGGTTTCCATGAAAAATGTAGGTGTTTAATCATCTCTTACAAGATAGACGAGTTACATCTATGTCTCCTGCTGGATATAAGGCATAATTTTGCTCCAGGTGTCAAAAAATAAAAGTGCCCACTGAAGAACCTGAACTCTAAGGCCTATTGTAGTTACCAAAACACAAATATCAAAGATGGATTTACATTTTCAAGTCATACATCGCAAACATTATTCACTCAGTCTTGATTCCAGCACTCCCCTACAAATCACTTTATGCATTAAGACCCTCCCCCCCCACCCAGCCAACAAGACCACCAAGAAAAAGATACTAAATCTAATTAGGGAACTGGTAACCTATTTATGGAAAGTTCTCTCTCCAGTTTATGCCTGTGGCCTGAACTATCTTCAAAGACCCTAGTTTTTGTCTTTTTTTTTTTTAAAGATGTATATATTTATTCAGAGAGAACTGGGGTACAAGCCAGAGGTGCAGGGGCGGTGAGAGGATTCACCAGAGACAGAGTGGGGAGCAAAACAGGCAAATCAGTGAAGTACACGGCTGAGAGGAGCAATGAATGGGACAGGAGAGGTCTGCTGTGCCATGTGGGTCACCTCCGGGGCCAGGGATCGAACTTGCATTGAAGGGCTGCAGCTACCTTGCAGTGCTGCATCCTAACCCACTGCGCCACCAGGGAGGGCCCAGTTCTTGTCATTTTTTAAGAAAGAATACCTTAATTTTGAAATAGTAATGCTTTCCTGTTTTCTATCTTTCAAGAATTTTACAATAAACATTAAAGTTCAGGAACACCTAATCTTCACTAACTTCAGGTTTTGTTTACAAAGGTGTGCTCAAAATAGTTAATGACATGTCGGATCCATCCTTCAGGTCAAGGAATGAGGAGGCAGATTGTTTCAACAATTTGACCACAAGTTTCACATGCAGAAAATGTTCAGCATGAAAACACCAGGCAGGCAGTGTTGAGCAGTAGTGAGGTCAGGAGAGCCTGTTTTTGAGCACTTAATGTGTCAATAATTCAATCAGGCAGCAGGTACCGAGTGTCTATGTAGCAGGCATCGCTTCAGTCCTGACTTACAGACCAAGTCAGATCTGATCTGTCTTCATGCACTTATTTTCTGGTTCCTCTGCTTCCTGTTAGGCCAAATTCTATGAAACCCGGGGTAAAGTATGGTATAATCCATCTCTACCACCAACCAGCTTGTTCAGCGATAATAGAGAGAGCAGCACATTTTCTCATTTACATTATGCCTTTTTAAAAAGCAGTGGTGTACAGCAAAGTATCATTCATGAATGCCAGACCTTTGCACTGGGCTTCCTAAAGAGGGGTGTGACGTATTCTTTTGGGGCTGATGGGAAGGTTCCAGCTTTAAACAGTAATGATGGACATGAAACTGTGAGTGTATTAAAAACCACGGAATTGCATCACTTACAATGGTGAATTTTATGGTATCAATAAAAACGAAGTGAGTCAAGCTAGACGCGATGGTGATGAGAGACCAGAGGGCCTATCATGTAAGAACCAAGACGGTCTGTCCTGGGTTGCTGAGGAAGGACAGAAAGCAGTGAGGCTTTCGGTGCACTCAGACTCACCTCCGCGTGTCTAGCCAGGCAGTAAGTGGACAAGAAAGTCAGCTGGTCAGACCGCGTGCTGTCAGTGCAATGCCGTGCCGCGCCCTTGAATTTGCTCACCCCCACGAGCCCAGGTGTCCACACGGTTTGTGTCAGCAACCAGAGTTTCTCTATGAAAGGACACTGCAAACATTTGAAAAGGTCAATTTGATTTCAGATGAAAGTATTTGATCAGTGAGAACACCCAGCCCTTCACTGACTCATGTATTCTTCTATGCGGTCGCTCTCAACTCCCAGGCACTGACGGCAATTTAGTGGCGTGATTAGTGCGATTATGTTCAGTTCCCCTTACACACGAAATGGCTGCTGTAGAAGGACTACAAGAAGGTGTTAAAATGTCAGACTCTCCAATTTCAAGGCTCAGGAGAGTCTGCAACGTGAGCACTAGGAGACCAGGCATTCTAGGGATTCGGTAAGGGACGAGCACTTGGCCACTCTATTCAGAAACCAAAGAACAGACTGCTCAGGAGCTCAAAGATGCAGAAAATGATGATTTTATTGGTAAAACTGCAAAGCCAATAGGTCATTTGACAGAAGGCAAAATAAACCAGGCATCCATTTTGGAAAAGTCCTTTTTGTTTCTTTAATTCTAAGGCCCCCTCTAGTGTTTGAAAACAGTCACACGCAGCACTCCAAACAATCTAAGGCACCGTCTTTTACCATCCCAAGCACAAAGAATACTTCTGTTCCGCTTTTATGGCACGAAAATCAATGAGAGAAAATGTCTGACCATAATTAATATTTCAAATTCCTGCTATGATTCATAGATTCATTATCCTCTCCTTCAATAATTTTTCTGTTATTTACTCTGCTGAGTTGTTTTTAGAAAATTTATACTATGTTAACAAGGGAAAAAAATAGAAAGTAAGCAGGGGCTGTTAACTCCCAATACAAGAAATACACCTTCTTGAAAGTAACAGAAATTTAACTTGGTACCAAATAGCCCACAATGCTTTTATGGAAGTTATTGTTAAATAGTATATACTTATTTATTTGCATATTAGAAAATTAGAAATCTATATATATTTTAGGAGCCACCAATTAGGTGAATTTTTTATAAACCTCCTGAGTGTCCTGTTCGAGAGGCATGGACAGCATGCCTTAAAGGGCAAATGCTGGCTCTGAAGGGAATTCTCAAAGTTTACACAGACATGGCACTATATCAACGCAATGACTTAACCTCATGTACTTTTGAAAAAGATTGATTAAAATGAGGGGGAGTAAAAAAAGTTTAGCTAAGAAAGTAGAGTGAAAAAAGTCTTTGTTGTTTTTATTGTTCATGGTATGTTACACAGGGTCTGAGGTAAGTAGTATTTCTATTAAAAAAAAGACTATTAAACAAAACAAAACAGTGCAGTCTTGAGCAGATGACAGAAAAGAAGGCTTACTAAGTTATTTTCTATTCTTAAAGTTAAATTTTGAAAATTCAAACTGTATTTAAATAAATATTTGTCATTCAGAAATCACATGGCTTCTCTGCATTGATCCTGCTTTCAAACTTGTCACTTGCAAGTGTCACAAGTTAAAAAGACAGATCATCTAAAAATGAGTTTCAAACTGGTTACATCATTGACTACTGGACTCAACTTTTAAGATACCTACGGTCATGTGAACAGGACACATTGTTTTAAAGTGCAAAATATAGTCTGTTGGCTTGAGAGGAAGAATTACATAACTGGAAATTATTGCAGTTATTTCTCCTTGAAAAAAGTTAGTGAAAAGTTGCTTTGAAAGTTAGCCATGAAACTATAAATTATGAGAAACACTGAAAATGAGTATATAAAATGCAATTAGAAACAAAACCAAAACGAGAGGTCGAGTAAATAAAAGCAAATAAATACTATACAATAACATACAAAAATGTGCTCATAAAAAACTGAAATTTGCTTTTTGAAACATCTATTTTCCCCTTTCCTTGGAGGGTATATCGATGAAATTAAAATTCTGACGTAGAGTCTCTGTAAAGATTGTCCAAATGTTATCAATTACCAGCACTGCTTTTGGCCAAAACCTCTCTGATCTGCCGGTCGAGTTCACTGATTATTCGATCCTCGTGATTATACACCCCCGTCCTCATCAAAGTATCCCTTTCTTCTATCAAGCGGGTCAGATAATCATCCAAACCTTCCTCCAGCACGCTGCCCTGCGGGCGGTCCGTTTTCCCACGGGCGATCTCTTTGGAATCCGGGTACTGCGGCTGTTCTTGCTGCCTTAACCTGGGGAGTCAAGAGCAAACGCCACTCTAGCTGGCAGCCGACCAGCTTTGGTTTCCTTAACAATACCAGTTAGAAAGAAAAGGGTGAACGGTAAAATACCTTTGTAGTAATATTTCAGAAGGCAAACAAAAGCCAGCGTTCCGTTCGGCTACCCAGAGTTAGCACATAGAAAAGGGAGTTTGGAAAACAATACTTGTTTTTCTAATTATTGAACACATGACAAGTGCAGAACTGTAACAATTCTTTCTATTTCTTTTAATTCGAATACAGTTCAAAGAGGTCTTTTTCTGAAGAGTTAATATATATGCAACACTGTATTTTTAGAATATTTTAATCTGATTAAAACTTCCCATTAAGTGTTTCTCCTACCTGGCTTAAGAACATCACATCATTTTTAACCATGATTCAGTCATCTTTCATTGTTGGCGTTTAGGTTGTTATTCAACCCGTTGCTCCTACTGCTGTGGAACAAGATTTTTTTCTTCTAATGTTAGTGAAATACTAATTTATACCAAACACTGCTAGGTTTGCAAGATATCGCAGGAAATCAAAAAGAAAAGTCTTTAGTGATATAAATTCCACAGTAGTACTTATAGAAAACCAAACTCTATAAATGCCCTTTGAAGGAGACATGCACATTTTAAGACTCTGCATTCATATCTTTAATTAGACGCACTATACTAGACTGCCTTTTTCAAATATCTGGAGGCCTTCTGTATTAAAAAAAAAAGAGGTTATCCTTCTGAGCAGAAGCATCGCCAGTTACTGGAAAGTGAAAGGACACATACAGAGTTCAGTATACGAAGTAACTTTCAATGGCTCTCCAAAGCAGAAGGCTCCTTGGGCCAGGAAGCGTGAGTCAGTGTGTGATCTCAACTAGGAGTTGGGAAACAGCACAGAGGCCAGCCTGGGACTCGAGTATTTCCCGTGGGATGCCATCACTCACTGCCTGGAGGACGGCGAGGATGCTCAGTAGTGCTGTTCCTCAGTCCTAAGTTGGGACGTAGATTATGTTTTAATTTAACGTGCAGTGTGCAGTGTGAACATGCAACTATACTTCCCTAGGCAGTTGGCTGGTGTAATGTGCAACTACTTCTAAACTTTGTTTTCCTAAATAAGATAGAGCAGTTGAGTCTAAGACCCTGCTTCTGGATGGTTTGGTGCTCTCTGCCTTACTTAGTCTGAAGACACCTTCTGAATTTACACCAAGCGTGGGCGAGAAGGGAGGAGGAAGCCAGTGAGGCGAGGGAATGGCTTTGCCAGACCAGCCGTCTGGGCCCCAGAAAGGGACCGCTGGTAGTATTTAGAAGTTTGTTCAGAAGATGTAGAGAACAGGAAACTGAAGGATGCCAAATGTTAGCATTCGCCCTATGGGGAAAAAGCTAAATAGTGATGGCATTATGTCTTGGGACTGGGCTGGAAATCAAATTATTAGTGGGATATGGCATCAACTGCAGCAGCTGATGTGGGAGGATAAGGGACAGTGTCTGTCTACTGTGGCCTGCGGCTCACTTGTGAAAGGTCCCCTCAGCAAACACATGACACACAACGGCAAACGCTGGACCTGCTAGTTCAGCTGACGGGTGCATGCCTGAAGGACACACAGAACTTACACGTAACTGATAGGTCCTAGCAAATCTGTACTGAAATGCAAACCATCAATTAAGAGTCTAATAAGATTTTAGAACCTTGTACTTGAAGCCCATGAAGTTATCTAAGGAAATTTTACTCCCGAACGAATGCTCCATCTGAGCCCCACTCACACTTCCTGTCACGAGGAACCTTCTGCTTTGTAGTCCGGCTGGGAATTACTTCTTACACTGAACTCCATATGTGTCCTTCCGCACTGCAGTGACTGGCGTTGCTTCTGCTCAGCAGGGTAATCTCTTTACTTTTGTTTAGTACAGAATGCCCCCAGATACCTGAAAATGGCAATGTAGTACTCTAAGATTTCTCTTCAGGCCTGTATCTCTCACTCTGCTAACCACTTGTTGGTCACATCCCACTGGAAAGTCTCTAAGATATGATTTCCATGAGTGTTTTTTACACACTGATAGGAATGCTTCACAGCTGAGTTTGTCAGTGCTGAGTTGGAACATAAAAGTAGAGAGAAGGCCACGGGAGCAGAGGAGTGAAACAGCCAGCTGCTGGAGTCAGATGGACACTCTCGTTCCCAGATTTACTGGCTGTGTGACTGTGGAAAGGGCACTTAAATCGCAAAGTGGGTAAAATATCTTCCCCAGAATGTTTTGTGAAAACTGAAAAAATGAGACCGGCACGAGGCACTAAAAGTAGCTCCTGGCACACAGCAAGGGTTAAATACATAAGAGCCACTCTATTAATGTTGGCAGTAACTACACTGGAAATGTGTTATGCTTTAAGCAATTAAAATTCACAACAGTTGATTACCTTGAAATAGTAGCAATTATCTCACAAGACTCACAAAGGTTATATGACTTTGAGCAGTAATGCTCTGGGAATGGAAATAAGCTAGCTGGATTTCACGGAGCACAGTTGCACAAAGAACCCGTGTGCAGTGGTCTTCGGCACAGTGGCACAGTCTGTTTTACAAATAACCATATTCACCTGCCTTCACCTTGAAAGACTTGATGTGCTACTTCCCCTGTACCAATGACCAATTAGAAGCCTGCCCTACTGGAAATTTCACGCGTATATGAAAAACTCTTTAGTTCCTGTACCTGTTCAATTCATTTCTTATATCCAGCAGCTCTTGTCGTTCAGTCTTCACTGTATCTTTTTCCTCAGCAGCCAGGTAACGTAGTCTCATCTGCTCCAACTCCTCTTGCTGTTTTTTAAGACGGGCCATTTGGCTTTCCTGTTCCCTCTTCAAAGAAAGAGACAAGTCAGAGCTCAACTACCTGCATTAAAGTATTTCACGTGACTCCCACATAATTCTGTTTGACGACACCCAGGGTAAACCAATGCTGGTTCTCTGAGTCGCATATTCTGTAGAGCTCAGGTTCTCTTAAAAAAAAAAAAAAAAAAAAAACTCTTACCAATACTTCTGCGTTATAAGCCACAATTATTCATGGCACAATCAACGAACGACTTTGGCTGAGCACACGAGAGGTGATGGCAAGAGTCAGCTATCAACAAAAGGAGTTCAGTCAAGAACCAGTGGGCAGGGCAGCCACTAAGAAGTGGTTAATCATCCAAAGGTGTACGAAGAACATGTTAATACTTGTCCTTGCTGTGGTCACTAATGTCACACTCACCTCAGGGGCTAATGTCTCTTCACGTTTTTCTCCAGGATCATAAAAAAATCTGCCCATAAAATTTCTTTAAAATGTGACATTTCACAGAACAGATGCTCTGTGACAAATTCGCCAGTCTTAAAAAACAGACACGTTGGGGCCTGCAAAGGAGGCGGCGGTACATGGCCCTGCCACAGCCTAAGTCCCCCAATCTCTGTGCATCGCTGTCTAGGAACAGATGCTCTTCTTTCTTTAGGACAGAACTGCACAGGGGGAGAGCTGGGTCAATAGGTACGTGTCATCTTTTTGAAACGAAACATCTATTAAATAACATAAAAATTGGAAGTATATATTTTGGTAAGGTTTTACAAAGGGAACTAATCACATAACCACCATCCAGGTGGAGAAACAAGATTTTCTGAACCCCAGAAGTTTGTTACCTCCCAATGACTAACCATTGCATCTATCCCAAAAATAACTACTGCTTCCCAAATTTGTAACTCCACAATAAGTTTTGACTTATTGGCCAGCACATTACTTTGTCAGCTGCTTTCCTGACGTTACCAGGTTCAGGCCATGCGCGGCTGATGACTTTTAACCACACAGCATTTCACTGAGTTAGGTACAAGTTAGTCCACGGTTGAGGGACAAGTGGGTTAGTTTCTACTTTGGTACTCAAAAGCTGATGTGCACATTCGTGTACATGCCCTGTGGCACTCTGCACACGTGTGTCCACTGGGTACCCCAAGAATTCAAACTCCTGGTCACAGGGCATTAGGCCATCTGTACATGATGGAGTCCCTGCGGTTCATTTTTAGTTGGCTAAGATTGCAAGTAGTTATTGGTTTCTAATGATATGATCACTTGATTTGTTTTTCTCCTTTATTCTCTCAAGGTGGGGAAAAAAAATACTTGTTTAGCTTTGTTTAAAGATACCTACATTTCATATCTGTGTTCAGGAGACAGGCTGACCAATTTTATTTGATAATGATAGCCTTACCATATTTTAGGTTCAAGGTTATACTGGCTTAATTTAAAAAAAGAAGAGTTTTTCTCTGTTCTTAAGTTTCTAGGGCAGGTTGTGTTGTGTTAGTTGTTTCTTCCTAACATATCTCCTGAAAATTCAAAGTTGAAGTCATGACGTGCCGAGCTTTACCTGTCTGCGTCGTTCTGTGGCCCGCCCCCTCGGTGCCTGACAGTGCGAGCTGGCACTATTCTCTTGCCCTCGAGTAGTCTTGGGCAAGATGTTATGTGTTGGGAGTGCGGGAGGAAGAGAGTGGTTCCCTTTGGAACAAACTTGGTATCTTTATTTCGTATTTCATGCATTTCTATTCATCCTGAGTATTTCCTTTTCATTCCTTTTTTCCCTAAAAAGGGATATTTAGAAGAATAGGCTTGATGCATATTTCCTAAGCACACTTGAGGCTGTACATTTCTTTAAGCACAGCCTTCAATAAATATGTCTTGATACTTTGAAAAATAGTGAAGGTAAGACCTACTTATTTTACGTATCATGGGCACAGAACATATTCCATGTACTAAAAAAAAAAAAAAAAACTACTACAAACACTGTGATATGACTGTTGTTTTCCTACAATCAACAAACACCCATTCATAGTTACATTTCTTTTCATGGCACCTTCTCCATATGATTTCATTGGGGGTCATTTTCCCTTTGACTGAAATACCTTTTAGTACCCACTAAACTTCTGGTTTGCCACCAAAAATCCTCCAAACTTTTATAAACCTGAAAAGTCTGATGATGTCACTTGAATTTAAGGAGAACATTTGTAATAGATACAGCATATTAGGTTGTTACTGACTTTCTTAAAGAATAACTTGGAGGATGTTATTCTACTCTTCTCAAGAATTACTTTAGTCTCGAAACAACTCTGTGCAGCTTTTAATGTTTCAATATACTCTAGTTTATATTTATCCTATTTATAGGTCATAGGTGTTCTTGAATCTGGGAAACTAACATCTTTATCACTTTGATAATATTTTCAGCCAGTATGTTCTCGTGAGCAATTGTCATAGGCTAAATATTTACATGTCTTGAAAACTTACAGTAAAGCAGAAACTCTGATGTGATAGTGGTAGAAGGCAAGTTCGTCTTTGGGGAGGTGAGCAGGTCATAAGAGCAAGTTCTGTGAATGGGATTCTACTGTCTTGTCAGCAGCCTGAGAGAGCTTGCTAGCCCCTTTGGCCATGTAAGGGCGAGCCAAAAAGATGGCCATTTGATATGTGAAGCAGGGCGACAGACACATAACTGACCATGCATGCACCCTGATCTGAAGACTTGCTTCTCTGGTTGATAAATCACCCAGTCTGTGGCACTCTGTTACAGTAATCCACTTGAACTAAGACAGGGTGTTATTACACAGAAGGTGTCAGTCACTCTATTCGATATGTTATTTATGCTCTTTGCTATACTGAATCCATCTATTGAATTCTTATACGGTAGTTGCAGTATTTCTATACAATGGCTAAAAAGCCAAAGATTCCATGGTTTTAATGTATTTTACTATCACATCACCTATTTCTAGAACATAGTGACAGTAGTTATTTCAAACTTTGGTAAGTGATGACTTCAAAATCTAAATTGCCTGGTTTATTCCTATTAAGCTAAAGACCTAAAAAGACACAGAATAGACATGCAAGTGACAATGACCATCAAAATATGCTTAGTAGTAAAGAACAACCCTCTGGAAAATGTTTTGGCAATATTTAGTGAAGCTGAAGAATGAGCGACCCTCCTACCCAAAAGAGCCCACTTTTAGCTATAAACACTAAAACCCTTTACATGCCTTACATGTAGAAACGTAAGACAACTTGGGAAAAACATGTCCACTGAAGGCCTGAATAAGCAAATTCTGGCACATACATTGATGCGTTTTTAAAAGCAGCAAAAATGAATTAGCTGTTTTGATGCAAGTAAATATAAATCTCAAATGATTGAGTCAGAAACGATTCAAAGAATGACTCCATACACAGAAGGCTAAAAAACACAGATGAAAGGGTTTATCAGTAAACAAAGTAACAAAGATCAGGGTGAGGAAAGTGGCTCCCTCTGGAAAGGACACAGCTGAGAAAAGGCTTTCCCAAACTGAAAGGTGGGGGCTGGGCCACGAAGAATACTCTAGTCTGCTGTTGTCCTCGAACTACTTCATTTTAGACAGTCAATTTTTTAATTTTAGGTGAATAGTGAAGCAGTGTATTTAAGAAAGTTGAAAAATTTTTAGCTCAAAAACTTCAGAGAAACCTTCAGATGCCTTGAATTTTTAACCAAGTGCCGGGTATTAATAATCATCACACATGCACACACCAGACCAGCGGCTAGTGAAAGACATGCTCTCTGCTGCCAGGTGCTCTGGGCTAAAGGCTCCTTAATCAAGTGAGTATAATCTTTATTTTGCCTTGGCTGCCTATAAATCCAGAGAGGAGATGTAAACACACATATACTAGACTAAACAATGGCTAAAAAGTGGCCACTACTTACTCTCCCACTCACACACTCCATGGAAGTCTGTGGGAACCAACTTATAAGGAACTCAAGTAAAGTTTTCTGAAAATAACCCAGAGCTGACAAGTCAGTAGGAGGGCCTGGATGGTTTCAAGACACAGTTTTTAACCAAGACTTGGACCTCCAACTGTTTTCTTAAACAAAGATTTACATCCCATCCTTGGCTAAATTACTTATAAATTAATCAAATTAATTACTCTGAGTGGATAAGCAGGAGGCTGGACAAGATAGTGTTGATGTCAGCCAATGAAGTCTGTGTTGTTTTAACTAAATATATCAGCTTAGTTTTAAACAGATCTACTGTGCACAAATATGGTAAGGGACCCACATCCTACCCAAAAATCTCAGTTCTGTTTTGTGTCCTGGGAACATAACATACCTAGTTTTAATACAAGCCCCATAGTAAAAGTGTGAAAATTTCCTCGACAACACATACTTTTTTCTTAGTGATGATTTGTTTATTTTTAAAAAGTAGTGGCTTTCTTCCTAAGTAACTATAAGTTGGCAAGAAATGTTATTTAGAATACCGGCAGCAAAGTGCCAATCGTAATTGCCCCTTAGATGTCTGACAACTAGAACTTTCTAAAGTCAGTGTTCGGCATTGTACCAAAGATACCAAATCTGAAATGCTAGCTATCACTTCCTTGTTTTCTAAGCTAGGGCCCATTTTGTGAGATGCTTGACACATTTTATAGCTGTTGTCTACCTCATTACGAAAGAACAAAATGTTTACAACTGGAAAACCCAGACTTTTATGGTTGCAAATCAGAAGAAAGAGCTTTTTCTAACTAATTAGAAGATTATGATTTTTAATTCACAAATTGACTGTACGAGGTCACCTTTGCGTAATGGAAATCTCTGTTTAAACATTCCTCTGGCAATAGGCACCAAGCATTAGATCTCATTTCCAAGCTTCACCAGCTGGGCTTTGTCATTAACATTTATTAACAATCTAAGATACGGCTTTTGCTGTTTAATCCGTACTACACAAATGTTTTGTATGGCCCTCCAGAGGGTTTTGCTGTGACAAATTACTGGCAGAGATTATAGCCCCGTGGCTATTCACCAGAGGCAATGTAAAATTAACATGGTACTAATCCAATTTAAACAAGAAGTCGCACAAACAATCCTCTGGACAAAAGTAGATAGAGGATTCCAATTTTATATTCAAACACTATAAATGTGTTTTTAATAAAAAGTGATAGAAAAAACTGAATTTTGCCATATGAATTGTGCCAATTAGATGAAGTTACTGATTTTAATCTTCCAAAAGCTGTCATAAAGCACAATTTGCTACGGTAATCCCAAGGTCTGTTATATTACTTCCTGAAGTGTTGCATCTCAAATGTGGTCTGTAGAACATCAGTGATGCCTAGTGACCTTGAAATTTGTTTACAGTGTTTCTAAAGCAGAAAGTTAGTGGGATAAGGAATAAAATTGGTCTGCAGTGAGAAAGCTAGGATCACTGGGCTCATAACGGTTTTTGAGTAAGAGGGTACAAAATACATAAAAAGGGTAAACAAAATGACGGATTAAGTGGAAGAGCTGGAAGACAGCCACAGTGTCTGAAAACCCGTGTTAGGAAGACAGGGTCCTGGATGGCAGCATCTGCACTGAATCTACTGTTAAAAAAGACCACCCTAGCATGTCACTCGTAACTGAGAACTTGGAGGGTTCTTTGTGCTCAGCATACTGTATGTTTTATTTTAAAATTCACCTCAAACTGAAAACAACTGTCACCTGTCAATACACACAGCATACCAAGGTTCATATTACTTCTCCAAAGGAAAAGTCCTAGTCAACAGTTAGCACTTTTCTCTTTTCACTGCTGACTTTGATAATGCCTTAAAATTAATACCACAGCGTTAGCCCTCTCCTTCACCATATTCCTTCCTCAGGGGCAGCTCTCTCTTCCGCTGTCTCCCCAGTTACTCTGTTCCTTCTATTCTTCCTTCTTCTTAACCATGGTAATTAAGGCTCTGGCAGACAGAATTCTTACCTCTGCAAAGGATTCCTTCATTTGTGTTTTTAAGGCCAACATCAGATCCATATTTCTAATTGCTTACTCAATTTCTTACCAGTCTTAATAACAGTATTATCGATACTGGAAACTTTCCAGACACGACTGCTTGAACCCTTGGCATATTTGATGTTCTAGTCTGTGTTCCAGTCAGGTATACAGTGCTCCACAGAATCTGCTACAAGTATGTCTTTTTAAAGAATCTTCTTGTCAAGTTCCCATTTCTTCCACTAAGCATCAAGTAGTAAACGCTAAGTTACTGTGCTGTCACCTGAAATGACCTCTAAAACAGGCCTTCCTTTGGCCTCTGAGCAGAGTCTATGATCCCTGAGTTCACACCACTTTGCTATAACCAGGCTATTCACTATATTTGTGTTTGTATTTCCCTACTACTTTCCTAAATCATAACCGATTCTCTGGAGAACTGTCTCATCCTATTAAGCACATGTACTGTTTGTTTTCAAGGTTCTTTCTCACTATTACTCAGTAAATACCACATTTTTAGTTATTTCTTCTCTATTACTAAATTGGAAGCTCCTGAGGGAAAGGTCTGTCTTACCCGTATCTATAAATGTACAGCAGGGCTTGGCTATGGGAGGCCCAGTACTATAGGATTTTTCATGCATTTAAAAATACTTTTGTTTTGTGTAGCGTTACCCCACTTACACTCAAAACACAACTTAGAAATATTGAGTTGAAATATTAAGGCAACTATAGTACTTTTTACTTCTCAGTCTAGCACACACTCCACCATGAAGGTGGTAAGCATACAGTACAATATGGTGACGTAGACATTTTAATTTTGGGCCCCTAGGGTCCAAATTCCATTCAGACTAAAATAGATTAATATTAATTGTATTCTGAATCTAATCTCTCTCATTAAAAAGTATTTGTTATGTAGTAGCAGGAAAGAGGGAAAAAATGTAAAAACAACCTGGGAAAGTATTTTGAAACTCTTGTAATAAAAAGTTATATGTCCTGAAATTTGAAAACTTAAGTTTATTCTTAAATTTTCATTGGGAATGTTGGGGGGAAATGACAAAGAGGATAGCTGGCAGTTAACAAAAAAAAAAAAAAAAAAAAAAAAAAAACGGGGGCGGGGAGATCTAAAAATCTGTTTTTGAAATAACAGAATTTGCACAAATCTTAGATAGCACATGAAGATAAAAATGCAGACATGTGAACCTAACAGCTATTGCCAACTATGCAAACTTGTAAAGTAGAAAAGATATAAAAAGAACAATCCATCATTAGCTATTAACTACATACCTGCTTAAGTCTGGCAAGTTCTTTCAAAGCTCGTCCCCACTGCTGCTTGTAATGTAGTTTAGACTTAGTTGCAGATTCCAACTTTCTTTCAAGTTCAACCTAACAGTGATTAAAATCATATCAAGTGAAACACTATACCACTGTGTACAATCACTGAAAGATAATATATACAAAGAGTCTGGCTTAAGAAAAGAGTTTATGTAGTGTAACGTACAACATCATCTAAAGCTGTTATATAATTTACTATAAATATTATGGCACATGAACATTTTCTTGTTTAAAATATAGTTGTATTTTTATTGCCTAACAGTCCATACGAAAGAGAACTGTATTAGTCTTAAAACACCAGACAGTTACTATAAATGTATCTAAAAACTGTATATTACATAAAGATCACAGTGGAAAATACATTTTTTTTTCACCAAAAAACTGTTCTAACTTAGCATTCCAATTTAGCTAACAGTCTAAACCTTAGAAACTCAATTATACTCTATCCAGAGAAAATAATTATGTAGCATTTTCTCTTTGAATGAAGCAAGCTAGTAAGGATACTCTCATGATAATATTTTGGCAAAAATCACAGAATGCTGAAAACAGTGAAATGTTTTATCAGAAAGCAGTTTACTAAGAGAGTACAAAGTCAGAAGTATTTTAAGAATGTGAAAGTAAACCCAAGAAGAAGAAAAATAAAGTTCCTTAATAACACTCATGTAACTTTTATTTTCCATTGTTCGTCAAATATATAAAGAAAAACAACAAAGTGGCTCAAATAAAAAAAAATAAGGTTATTTATACTTGCAGCAGGCAATCTGTTGTGCATGAACTACAGCCAACTTGGCTATGATTTGGAATGTACTCTCTCAATGTTTCAAACAAAATACCAAACAAATTCATGCAGCCAACAGACAGATTTACTATTTAAGTGATAATGTAATAATGTGCAAGTTACAGTAAAATACTGTTTTCTAAAGTGCTCTAATTGTTTTTTATATCGAGTCATTTTTCCCATACACACAATTCCTAATGATTTGCAGGAAAAAAACCAACAACACGACATAAAAATTCAAACTTGAGGAAACTCATATGAAGAGCAAATTGCCAAATTTCCTTCACACAAAGACCAGAACATTCTCTGCAATAATATATGAGTTCATGAAGTCAAGGTCTTTTCTGCTTTATAAATCCCTAGTGCCTGGATTTAAATGTGTTGACATTTCACAACTAGACTCATATGTCTTAAACTGAATAATGCTCAGATTATCAAAGATGATCTCTTCCACTTACGCCGCAAAGATTTATACATGTTCCTTGGTAATTTAACAGTGGGGCATATGTCAGAGGAATAGCAAAAATCTCTTTATAGCTGTGCGATAAGAGACTAGTATTCCTAACAAAAGCAATCATGTCTATAGGTGATGGAGTGTTGTGCCCAGAGACAAGGACTAGACAGGAATGAATCTGAGATTGTTAGTACCCAAGGGACTGATGCCATCTGAAAAACCTGTTTTGGTAAGTTGTCTTAGTTTTAACAGGTGAAGATAATGTACGCGTGCATGGTTGCACAAACTAATTTCAAATATGTATACAGTCAGTAGTAAGTTAAAAACCTGTAGTCAGTAAATCTGAGACACAAACCTCACGTCTTCGTTCATTCCTATAACCAAATCAGCATTTTTTTTTTTTAACACAGATGCCTCAGTGATTCTAAAGAAATATATGGACCCAATTCCCAGGAAAACAGCACACACAGCAAAGTTCTGATGTAATTTGAGGACATTCCAGGTCTTTGGGTTAACAGAGTCCTTACTGTGAGTAGATCTGACAGTCTTTATCTCCTGGCCCCTACTCCCTAGATCTAATCTGCAACAAGGAACTGTTAGCTTACTTTGGGATCTTCTCATCTCTTGTCATCTTGGCCTCAACTCTGTCCTATGTACAAATCCTTCAATTTTATCATTTCACTCTCTACGGAAAACAAAACACACCTAAACTAGCTACTACTTCCTTATTGGACAGTGTAGAGACTACTGTGGCCTAGGCTTCAGGCCACTGAAAAAATATAATTTATCAGGACAGTTTCTCGCACATTCCCTGGCATATGATTATACTACATTCATGTAAGACTCCGCGGCATCCCTCAGTTACCTTACCAACCCTTTAAACACTGAGGGTTCCAAAGGATCATGAGCTTCTGCTCTATTTTCCCTTAACATAAGCATGGGCAGTCACTGAAATATTCTTCATTACATAAATTTTTGCTTGCCATTTCAATCTCTGTATGTATGTTCTACTAAATTAGGTTTACCAGATTTTACTTTCAAAAGTCCCAATTATTTTTAAACCATTTAAAAGGTATTTCCTGGCTACAAGAAAAACAAACGCTATCACAGTTTTTTTTTTTTTTTTTTTTCATAAAAGGAACTCAAAGTATGTCTTAATTTGAGCGTGTGTTAGACTATTTCAGTGAAAATGGGAATAACTGTTACATGGAAGAGATTAGGCAATCAGAAATGAAAGAAGTTCTCAGCTTGTAGTTAAGGAATAAGATTCTGCCCTCTTCTGGTACCCAAAACATTTGCAAAGAATTTCTTAAAAAGAAGGCTCAATTTACTAGACACTTAAACATGATGGATGAATTCATTAGGTCTGGAGCTCATTTGTCCTTTGGAATTTTTTCATGTCTTGTCATTTTGACCTCCAACTTGTTCTATCCACAAGTAGTACTTATTTATGGGTTTGTTGTTTTTTTCTCTTTCAACAATTTCATAGTAGTACTGATACTTTCATGTTTGGTGACTTTTAATAGAATATCGTTATAAATTCCCTTCTCCGAGAGAGCTTGTGAGAGTCAAGATACTACCTGGTGAGTGCTCCGGAGGACGTTACTCTTCCAGTATGTACCAGATTCGGTGCTAAGCACTCACCAGGGGACAAAGGATATGGACATGGGTAATAAGGAAACCTGCCGAGGCAACATCCTAGTAAATGGTAGAACCAGGATTCAGAGCAAGGACTTCTAAGTCTGTCTTGCCATGTTCTGGCTACTGTTCTGTTTGAGGCACACACTGCGCGTCACCACCAACTCGTCTGCTCGCTTGCACTCTTCACTGTCATCTTTCAATTCCAAGGTCAGCTTGGTTTCTAAATGGTGGGAGTGGTGGCAGGAAAAAGCTTTGTCAAGATGTAGCTGTCTCAGGAAGGAAGCAAAGCCAACGAAAGGCCACGTGCTCTGACGCAGTGACAACCTGAGCTAACAGGGGCTCTGGCACGCATGTTTTCAAAACTGCCACTCCTGAATATGCTCCCCACTCTGCTTGGTAATGTCAGTGCTAGGTTTGCACTTCTCACTGTCTAGGCTCATTTCCAAGATCTTAAAATCTAGCTCATTCCCCTCGTCATGACCTTTTTTACCTTTTACTTTGTGTACTTTCAGTAATCTCTGTGCTCCTGGACCTTTGTCCTGTCCTTCCCCCAACACAGACCAAGTCTAATTTCAAATGCAGCCCATCTCCAGGATCCTTCTATTTTTTGGCTTTCATTTTACCAGTCTCTCAGTACAGGGTACCTTTGTCAGCTTGGATTCACTGGGGAAAGGAACTCTTCTAAACTTTGTCAGAGCAGGACTTATAAATAGGTCATCTGCAATCCTTTTCCATCACTACTGCTGCAGAATTCCCCTTGGCAGTTGCTACAGCCACTTCCACAACGATACTGTTCAGCACTCAACTCAGCTCTACTTCCTTCCCCTTAGCTTTCGTCAGGTATGATCAAAGCCCTCTAACTCCTGGCTCTCAGCAGCAATCTTAGCTAAGTTTTTTAGTGCTCTTATTTTTGCCTCCACATATTCTGTATGTTCACCCTTTCAACCGCATGCCTTCCGTCAATGATCCCTTCTTTTAGGGCTAGTTTCTCTTTGGTGTTAATCTCTGATCCACAATCTGAAAGTATTACCAAATTTTCCCACACGAAGTAAGCTTTCCTCAACAGTCGAAGCTGGTGGCCTTTGTCTTTATTTTGCATGCCAGGTTTGCTCTAGCACTGTGTGATCTGATTTCTTCAAAGTCAGTAACTTCTTAACTGCCAAACACCAGGCCTTTCCCTCAACTACTGTTACCCTGTCCTTCATGTTCACTGCCTCCTTTTTAGCCTCCTTCCCTTACTTTTTGTCCATGAAGCTGAACTTTCTTTCAAATTGTGTCAAGTGTAACTGTTTCTCCACCTAGACTACTTTGTGAGCATGACAAATGTAATGTCTGAAACTATAATTCTCTACTTCCACCTGCCCAAAAAGTTCTTAAAAATCTTCACTCCCGGCCCTCCCTGGTGGCACAGCAGGTTAAAGCACTGCACTAAGAAGCTTAAGCCACTTCCGCATGAGTTCGATCCCCACCTGCCCCGGAGGAGTCCAAATGGCAAGGCAGACCTCTCCTGACCTGCCCGCTGCTCCCCTCAGCAGTGTACTTCGTCCATCTGCCTGTTCTGCTTCCCGCTCTGTCTCTGATGAATCCTCTCACCCTCCGCATCTCTGGCCTGTACCCCAGTTCTATATGAATAAATAAATAAATTTTTAAAAAAAAATCTTCACTCCCATAAACACTTGAGATTACTCTCTGACTTTTCTTACCAGATGAAACACATTGTTTAACTCAGGAGCTAAGATCTTTTCCCTCTATACTTTTGTACATACAACATGCGGGAATATCCTCCTGCACATATTTATCTGTTCAAATTTACTCACTTCATTATAGTTAAGGTGCACATTTCAACAGAAGCAACACTGCTTTCACTGTAATTATTTGGGTAAATACCTTGTCTCCTTTTGTAACTTGCTATTTGGCTGACTACATACTAAACAGTTTTTAATCCTTCATAATGCATTTAGTGCTTTATCATAAATAGTACATACTATTGCAGATAATGAAAAAAAATCACTGGCTCAATCAGCATCCTGCCGGGCAATGCAAAATCACTCTGGCTGTTTCAAATAGAGGAAGCCGGCTATTCAGAAACTGGAAGAGCAGAACTACTAAAAATAATATGGAAGAAAACATAGTTGTTGGCAGCCGTGGGAAACCCCTAGCTTTGCTATGCAGGACAAAGTAGGAAGAGAAGGGCCAGGAAGTAGTAACTGTGGTGATGTACCAGAAACTAGGATTGCCTCGTGAGCCAGAACTACAGGGAGGCCTGCTGGAAAGAATCTGCAGAAAACAAGAGAAAGCAGAGAAGAAAGAAGTACTCTGGCAACTTTCCAAGTGCCACACACAGGTCTTCTGTTAGTCCCCCCTAGTGGTTGAATCTACAGAAGGGAAAAGGCAAGGAGAGACCTACAGTGGGATGAGGTGCAGGCAATAGCTGACACAAGTTTCTAGACAGTAAAATTAAGTTGTATTTTGGGTATTAGACTTTTTAATGTGTAGACCCTGAACATTATTTTTGTTTGTGGGAATCGCCTTGTATTTTTCATGGTGGGAAGCCAGTCCTGCCTGTCATTGCAAGGAAGGCTATCCCTTGGATGCAGTTAAGCAGAGTGTAGGCCTGTGATTTAATGAATGCTTCTGTCGGGAACACTGTATCTAAAACACAGTTATATGCAGACAGAGAATTCAAAATGGCTCCTGTCAAACTGAGTTCCACAGTATGATACGAATCCTCTGGAGTACTAAATCCAGCAACATGGCAGTGACAGCACCAGAGGGACAGTGAGTGGACTATTCTGTGAAGGCCAGGCCGCCCTGCTTCCCTCAGTTCCTTCCCATGCCTGTGAATTCCTGTACTCCTGTCATTAGTTCCTTTGTTTGCAACCAAGCACTTGAGTAAGCGGTAGCTGACCAAAGCATAGAAATTCTAGTATGATAATGTCATATGCCTTGATTTCTCTGATGCGTTCTTACTTGAGATTAGAATGCTACAGTGATGTTAAGACACCGCATAAGCAAACATCATTTGATTTTATAAAGTGATTAAGTCAGTAAAAATTGACTTTGGTAATTTTACCTTTTCCAAAGTGAGCAGATTTATTTCCGACTGTAGACGGATTTCTGGTTTGTTGTTTTGTTGATCTTTGAATTGATGGAATTCTTTCTCCAAAATTTTATACTTACTTTCAGCATCATGAAGCTGCATTAATAAAAAAACATGTTCACAGCAGGAAATTTAGTGATTACTTACTAACAAATCAATTAGTGATCTGTAAATCAGCTGATGACATCTGACAGGTTAAGTATAAACAATGGAACACGACAGATATGCCTGCTGTGACTGTTTTCATAATCACCGAAGTGTGACCTTGTAAGGCCAGTAGAGAATACATTAATTTGATAGCATATGACTTTCATAACCGAAACAGCACTATAACTTAAGCTGACCTAAAGATTATTTGGCTAATTCCTCTGTATTTATCAGAAGAAGAAAATTACTATAGTCCTTAGCCTGAACTTAGGGAAAGAATACGTAATTTAACAGAGATCCTCACTTAATTTCCAGAATACAAAGAACTCACGAAGTGTAAAGATAAATAAGCTACTTTATCCAACCTGTTGCTGAAGTCGGTGTTTATCCTCTTCTAGCTGCTTCATCTTCAGTCTTTCTAGTTCCACTTGGTGAACGCAATCCTCTTTGGCCCTACGGATGGAGTCCTGAAGTTCTTGCAGGTTGCGCTCACGTTCTGACTTTAGTTCCTTTCGTTCTCTTTGAAGCTTAAAACAAGTGCACCTTTAAGAGACTGGCTTGCTACTGGCTGTACCGTACCGTTCAAATATTAAAGTGTCCATATCCTTTTTCTGTAACTACAGTGTTAATATTAAGTTGAATGACTGAAATTACATAAAAATGTCCAAATTTCTTCTTTCAGAAACATCTTTTTTCTGCCTGAGCCCATAGGTGATTTCAGTCCTAGTATTGGCAACCAGTACTCAGATACCTGAGCTTTCTGAATTGATTTATTTGCTAAAGGTGATAGGCTGAAAGGCTAAGACAATATTATCTTCTAGAATCCTGAGATCCTGCTTCTTAAAATTAAGTATTATGCTGAGTAAAGTTTAGGAAGACCTAACTAGCTATAGTATATGGACCAGAAAGAGTAATGTCCCTATTCCTGGAAACCAAGTAAGACTTGCAGGCACTACATTGCCTTTCTTCTCCAGGTGTAAGTCCTTATTCTGTCATACAACAGTACTGTTAAGCAAAAATCTCTGCTATTGCTAGTATTCTACTGTTTTTCACATTCTAACATTAAACAGTACACCTTTATCAACTGAAGAGAAGGGTTCCCCAAAATATTTGAAAGGCAATTTCCATGAATTTGTGAGATGAAGGTAAATGCGTTAGTACAGTACCTCAGATTCTGCACTGGCAAGCTGCTGCTCTCGCTTCTCTAAGTCAATCAGGGTTTTCTGAAGTTTTCCTTCTAGAATCGTATACTCAGTCACCTAAAACACAATTCAAAATGCCATGTATTATTTGACTGAAACAGGAGATGAACGTAGGGAAATCATGAATCAGATCAACCGAAGCAAGCCAGAAATCCTGTCACGGTGCTTCAAGGAAGGCGGCCCAGCTGGCTTCTGCTGGGGTATCTTCAGTGGATTCAGTCTCCAGACTGCTTCTGCAGCCACGTTCCCTGCGTGGCACCTAGCCCAGGCTCCCAATTTTTACAGGTCTAAAGTCCTGCAAGTCCTGCCCTGCTCTGTTTTTATGCATTGAGTCCGATTCAGGGTAAGTGTTCTTACCTGCACAACACATACTTTAGAGTCTATCTTACTTCCCAACTGATCATTTTTAATAGGACTTTCTGAACCAATTTTTCTGTCCTTGTCCTAGTTTCTAGATCCCAAGACCTATTCCAATCTCTTTACAACTGTCAAAAAGTCCCAGTCTTATGTTTCCTAGAAGCTGAACCTTTAATCTTTTTCCCCTAAGAGGTAGAAATAAGTATCATCACATGTTCTTGTCTTTTCTCTTACCTGAGGTAAACAACAGCTTCAACTATTAATGCACAGATTATTTCCATACTGCTAATATCTTGAATTTAATCTACAAGTCTATGTGGCAAGCGTGCCTTCCCTTTTTAAGTAAATCACTAATTAGTCCCAAATCTTCAGTGCCACACATCAAAAGCCTTATAAAAAGAGAAAGTGACATCTGTCTCTGCAGAGTTCTGGCTTCGGATGCCATCTCTTCACATACTACATGCCCACTCCTTGAGTGATCTCATGTACATCATCACGTACACCCAGAACTGCCAGGTTTGTGGAACAAGGTCAAGCTTCTGCTAAGTTTTTCAGACCTCTACACCCAAAAAGCTGGGAAACATGTCCATATTCCCCATATAGCTCCAACTCAAACCATAATCTTTTTCACTTTAATAGTTATTATGTACCAACTAAACACAGGGCAAAACACAAAGTTGGGTACTTGATGCAGTAATAGGCAAATGCCATAAGAAGGAAAAGCAGGGAGAGTGGACAGCAAGTGCCTTTGTGTCCCTGAGGAGCCAACTGTACATGGGAAGGTGGTTTAGTATGCTCAGAAACTGTAAGAAGATGGTTCCAAAGAGGGGCAAAGGATGTTGGAAGGGATACCAGAAAGACACTATAGTGATCTGAGAAAGAGGGGCAAAGGATGTTGGAAGGGATACCAGAAAGACACTATAGTGATCTGAGAAATCGTGACTCCTCACAGAGAGTAATCAAAGTGGTTAATTTCCAGGATTCATTCTGAACATGGAGCCTAATGAACCTGATGTGGAATAAGTCACAGTGACTCGGCTTGTAGTCTAAATTCGTTCTTATTTAGTCCTTGTCTTAAAAAGGATAGTTTTCTTGTAGACATGTGAAGTCAGACAATCAACTTTGCAGCTGTGTGTTTCACTACCAGCTAATTGTAGCATCCAGGGAAAAAAATACATGAAACATGCATATAGAAGAAGTAAATGGATGAAAGTTTCTAAGGAGTGAGTGTAGAGAGACTCAAGACTGAGTCCTGGCTACCAATAAAGCCTTAACATGAACACTGGGAAGGCGAGACCTCAAAAAGCAGTTGTAATTTATTGTTCATAAGGTCCGAACAGATAGATTTGAGAACGTAGTAGGATTGGAGAGTGGTCCTGGGAAATTTCCTTTTGCTTGAGATGGCAGACCTATTCAACAATGTATCTTGAACACCTCATTCCTCTTAACTCCATAATTCTATCATTGTTAGCTTTAAGCGCTAAGCATTGAGGCTCGTCTCCCTGACTTTGTAGTCCTGTATTCCACTATTATTTTCCATCAGAGTGATTGTTAATATGCAAAACTGATCTTATGATTCCCTTATATAAAAAGCTTCATTAAAAATTCTCAATTTGTTGGCCCTCCCTGGTGGCACAGCAGGTTAAAGCACAGCACTAAGAAGCTAAAGCCACTTTAGCATGAGTTCAATCCCCACCCCAGAGGCGACCCACATGGCGTGGCAGACTTCTCCTGACCTGTTCGCTGCTCCCCTCAGCAGTGTACCTTGTCAATCTGCCTGTTCTGTTTCCCTCTCTGTCTCTGGTGAATCCTCACTGCACCTGCGCCTCTGGCCTGTATCATTTGAAGTATGGAACATATGAAATGATTTGAGCAATTATTTTCTCTATTGTATTAACTTCACCACTATAGATTCATAGAAGAAAATCTTACAGGCAAAAGATGCCTCTGAGCTGGTCCTTAACTCTCTCAGGAAACCTTGGCTGAATGTGTCTGCAGGAACAAGTGTAAGCTCCCCAAAAGTGAAACCGAGAGCATTTACTTTCTGTCTCGCCCTTAGTTGTTTAAGTTTTCCCCTTTGTAGCTTGAGTAGGGAAACACCTCTGTTTGCCAAGCCTACATCAAACTTCTCCCCCTGGTCGTATCTACTGATCCTCACCACATGTCCAAAGAAGACTTTGCCTTCTTTGTGGGTAAATAGCTGTGATAGGAAGTCATATACAAAAAGAGGGCAGGACAGGCCCAGGAAGTTGTAATTCTAAATCAGTTTAAAACAAATGCATTAGCTAACGATCACTAAACATAGTTAAAGGTGAAAAACATTATAAGTTTGGTACAGTTGCAAATATTTCTTTACTTCAGAGCCTCCAACGAAGTGTTAAACTTTCATTTGGGGAAAGTTTATGTGCAACTGATGAAAAAGAGACACAAAAACTATGTGCTTTTTTTCAGATAACAGTAACAGAGCAGTCCCTCAAAAACCAAACAAAGTGAGTAAAAAAACAGATAAAACTACCAGAATAAGTTCTCTATGTGCAGATCATTTGCATGAAATATGCCTTCACTTATATATTTAATTTACTATAGTGACTATTCTCGAATTCATCTTGAATTGATTGGCAATACTCTCCTAATTTGGGGAAGAATAGCAGATACAAGTTTTGGTGGAACATTATGGAGACTACTCCAGGCAAAGTTCTCAAAATACTAAAGAATTTATATACTGCAGGCAAAAATATTTAGGTAAGTAAATACAAAAACTGTGATATCGATAGTCTCAACATTAAAAGTTGCTTTTTTCCCCTCCACAATGATTACATTTTATAAAGAAAAATGAATGTTATGTCCCCACTTTCTTGTTCACAGTATTCTTTCTAGTTAAGACATATTAAACTCAAAGAACACCATAAAAATCTGCTATCAGCAACATAAAATTCACAATTATCTATCATCTACTAAAAAAACTACCAGGCACACAAAATAGCAGCAAAATGTAACCAATGGAAAAGTCAATCTGTATCAAAGTGCTAAATGCTGGAGTTAGCAGTAAGCCTATTGCAAATATGTTCCAGAGCTATTACTCAAGAATGAGAAGATGAATACAGCGTATGAATTTGAAAATTATTCTGCAATGTATTAATGGCAAAGTAGATCCATCAAATGAACAGACTGGTGAACCCAAATGACAGCAAAATCCAAAAAGCAGAAGACACTAAACAGAAAGTTCTCTTCAACCACACCCCCTGACCCATTCATTCACTCCACCCTAGCCCACACAGGGGCACTTCTTCCTTTAATTTCTATGCAAGTGATTACCTTTTTCTTCACCAGTGATTCTCTCTCTCGATCCCTTTTCTTCCATTCTTCTGCAAGAGCTTTCATATGAGCCAGTTCTTTCTGCTTTAACTACAAAAAGAAAGCCCTAAATTAGCTGAATAACCAGTCAATTGTACTCAGTTAAATACTATTTATCACCACATTTCTGTCGGGCACTCTGTCCTTGATCTCCAAAAGGACTACATAGGAATATCCATGGAACACAAAAAACCTACTATGCAAAAAGTAAACAAAGACAGATCTCATAACGTTCAAAAAAGTAACCTGATTTTCGAAAATGTCTTCTTGCATCTCTTTCCACATTTCCAGCTCAAGCGCTGCTTTGTATTCTAAGGTTTCACGTGGCTCTGTCTGGATTTCTGACGGACACGGTGCTGGAGGAAGAGAAGGTGGCTTCTGGTGTGCGGCAGATAAACCCTACGATTTGAATTTTTAAAAGAAGCTGAAAGCAAAAGCATTTGTATAGGTGCAACACTAAAGAATGATTTGGTAACATTCAATATTTACCTGAGATGAATCAGAGACAAAAATCTCACGCATTTTTACTAATCCATAATCTTCCAGAGTCATTGTGTAAGAAAGATCTATTATCCTGTTGTTTGACCTACAATTGAAGTCAGAAATATCTTAAAATCCAGTTCCTTTCCCCAAGTACCGAGTAGGTGACAGAACCTGCTGCAGCCTTCAAAAGCTTCCATGTATATGACTTTACTTGAGCAGTATCTTATGTGAAATACTCATTGTAAAGCAAAAACAAAACCCTATTTGACTATGTGTAAATTATCTTCTAGGATGAATATGAATATGCTTATACCTATTCAATATGAGCATTGCCTCAGGATAATTCCTAAAAATTGGAGATTTATCTTTCAAGACAAAACCTTCAATAAATGTATCCCACAAAATTAGAACTCTTCATTAACCAACTTTTTGACTTACTAGTATCACAGATAAGACACTAAAATAACTTCGAGTAGTAGGCATTTAGAAACTTTCTCAGTGAACCGAGTATTACTTAAAAGCTTTGCTTTCCAGAAGTGGCAATGGCAGATTAAGAAATTTCAGTACTTCTTTGCATCTTCACGATGTAGAACGAAATCCAAAAATTTAAATCTTACCAATTCCTTTTTCTTGGGACATTATCAGTTTTATCACATCAAGTAATCATTCGAGGTAAAAGTTAAAATACAAATAAAAAATATTACAATTTGCCCTTGAAAACTTTTCAGTGTACAGAGAAGTAAGTTTGGTATGAATTCAAGATCAGAAAAAGAGCATTTGAAAGGATAAGGTTGCAGCTAGCTTATCAGAATCTTAACATGAATAAAAAATAAGGGGAAGGTCAATTTTTCGAATGCATTACCCTTGTGCTGCTATAATGGGAACACTTTCACTGTAAGTTTGACGCCAACACTGTTCACCATTAGAACCTAAAAAGCGAGATTTTTCTGAAGACAGGACGTTGGAAAGCTGGATTCTGGCAATTCCCAGAAGTGAATCTTTACTCATTTTATCCTTGTGCCATAACTCAACCAGCAATGGAACCCTAAGGAAGAGAGAAATTAAGTGTTCACAAACTTTGATTTAGTCTTTCCTGATTCCTTTTGAATTTCCTTAATATAAGCAAAGATGTTGTCACTTGGAATGTTAAAGGCTCAATTCACACAGGTAACAAATGGGAAATACTATGAAATTTTCTGTACCATTTCGTGTACTAAAACCCTCCCCATTCTGTTCTTCCCAGAAATAAGGTCATTTTTGCTGACCCTTCAGACTTCCTGTGAAGAAGACTATGAATTGTGCTATTCTGAGAAAAGTAAAATTTTCTGAGATCTCCTTTTTTCTTCACAAATCCATTTCAGATCTCCCTTTTTTTAGAGACAAAAAATACACTGGTGTCATTTAATGAGTCAATGATAAATTTAGTTCTTATTTACCTACACATGTTAGAAAAACTCAAGGCAACTAAAAAGTCTTTAAAAGTCTAAAAGTCTTTAATAAAAGTCTAAAAGTCTTTAAAAAAAGCTCCTTCACTATTCACTATTTTAACAAAAACTGCTGTGGCTTGAACCCGATAGGAATTCCTCTATAAAATGTATTGTTTTCTAAGTTAATTAAAATACACATGTATACAATACCTTAAGAAGGTATCTTGCAGCTGGTAAGGCATAGTTGCAAAATCAAACGCACAGTAAGACTGAGGAAGAAAAACTTCCATGTTTTTCCGAACTTCCACAGGAGGGTTAGTCATAATAGGAGCGGCACTTCCAAAAAATGGATATGAATACCTAGAATTTAAAAATAATAATAATCAGCTAACAAAATTTTACTTACAGCTTACAGGTGAGCTTTACATTACGGTTTTATTCTTCTCACCAATTTTTAAGTTAGGCAAATATTTTCAGCATTGCTATAACAAAATGTAGTATTTGAATAGCATTACTGCTGCAAGTTGCTTTCCAGGGGATGGGTGCTGTCTTGTCCACATCTGTCCTCCCTGGAACAAACTAGTGGTTTCCACCCAGGAAATCACAGCTGTATTTAACTGCTAAGTTAAATATGACCCTGACCCCTAGAATCAAGCATACTATACTCTCTTAGTGATTAAAACCATGGCCTAAGTTAAGGCAAGAAGGAAACACGAAAATCATTGTCGGTGCTTTCTAAGTGCTTGTACAGGCTTCCACCTCACATGCTTCTGTAAGGTCACACTGTCGTAAGAGGTTTCATGAGCAGCAGCAGCGAGAGCTCGGGTAAAGGAGCAGAGGGCAGAGGAAATAAGTCTAAGTCTTCCTTTTCTTTGTCTTCTTTATTAGAAGACTTCCATGGCTTCACAATTACAGTCATCCTTCAACTGTGTCCAAAGCGTGCAGAATTTTGAAAACAATTTGAGAAGAAATCAAAGAATTTAAAATTCTGATGCATGGATGAGTTGATTTAAGCGCATAAGATTGGCCAATCTGCCTCATTAATAACAGGAAATAATGTGTAGCTGCTAACAAGGCAGAAAAGTACTCATACTAGTCACATAAGCAACAAATCTATCTATCTCTAATATTTACTCCAAAGGAATTTATGAGGAGACACGAAAAACTCCAAATTGAAGCACATTATTGTATTACATTTACTACATCTCAACCATAAGTCAATCACACATTAAAAACAGACTACTGGGTAGTCATTTCACTGGAATATATGTTTTCTAATTCTTTATATAAACATTGTGAACATTCCCATTACAGTCCATTAAGAAGGGTTTTTAGATTTATAGATATAAAAGGTAAATAACCTCCAATTATACTACTTTTAACTGACAGATCAGGTACCACTATTATCTTGACTTCTGGCATCTTTTCTACAACATAGCTAGCTCATTTCAAGAATTGCTGTATTTCAAACAGCAGCATTGCACCTACATTGTAAGTAGCTATAATCATTCCACCAGAATAGGTAAGACTATCATTTCTCAGAACACTAATGCCACTCTGGTTTAAGTTCAAAGTTATTAGACTACACTCTACTGCTCCACCAATGCCACTCTGGTTTAAGTTCAAAGTTTTTAGACTATACTCTACTACTCCACCAATTTAGAAAGTGTTATTTGGTGACATTTCTCTGTCTTAGCAAATCCCCAAACAGAGGAAAGGCATTTCTCCCAGAAAGAAATCCAAGTTCAAATCACACCTTAATATACAGTTGATTGGAAAACCAACTTCCAAGTCACGGATACTCCTTAAGTCTATTGAAAAGCAAAAATGATGTGATGTTGCTGGAACGGCAATTTTCTGTCCTGAAACTATTTCTGAGGCAACGGATGTAGTCACTGGCTGGGCCAGTGAGGTAGGTACAGAAGAATTGATGGCTAAAATGAATATAAAAATACAAAGAATAAAACAATCCCATTAGATAATTTACAAAGATATCATCGCATTTATCTTTACACAAAGCATTGATTAGGCTTACTACACATATCAATAAATGGGGCAGAAATCCCTAAAAGTGACTAACTCAAAATTACTGGGTTGTTGGAAAAGTCACACTTTGTTTTCTATACAAAAATGTGTCATGACTTTTCCGGCAACACAACCTATAGGCCTTAGTTCTCATCATAGAACTATGTTATTTAAAAAAACCCCAAAAAACCTTGCTATCATTATAAACTGCAAAACTTAAAAGCGCAGACATGATACATACATTACTAGGAAGACAGCAATCTGGCAGGCACCAACATATTCCCAAGAGGAAGCTGAACATAAGTTAGCATTCACAAGGCTGCGTTTGAGACTTAAGGCAAATAAAGTTACATCACCTTTTTAAAAGTTGTGTTGGCTACTTGAGAATATAGAACAGCATCTAACAAAGTTAAGATTTGAAGAGAAAGCGATGTAGTCCAGTTCTATCAGAGAGCAGGGATGTTTACTGAGTCTTAGAGCTACAGAGCAAAGAGCTGTAACTTGCACCCATCATTTTCAACTCTTAATCCACCACTTATAGTACTAGATGTAACCATTGATCCCCATGCAATGGAAGGAAAATAAAGCAGTTTTTTCACTACAGTTCCAATGAATGGAAGGCATGATAGCTTACTAAAGGTCTATTTTAGAAAACTTTCTGGAATTTTGTTTGAGTATGCTATCATTTGTAGTTGAAGAGATTGTAGTTATTTTTATACCATCACACAGTATTGGTTCCTTAAAAACCTGTTTTTACTTAGAACCAAAATAACTGATAGTTGTTGTTGATCCGATGACTATAACATCTAATACCTGAAAGTCCTGCAAAAAGAACATCTTACCCTTTGGATTCGGTTTTGTGTCCTTATCAAACTGTAAGCTCTCCACTTCACTTTCTGTCGCGTCACCTTTTGTGGGAGGTGACTGGCTGTGAGGCAGAACAGGGGACACGCTTGGCGATTTGGGCCCAGTAAGTGTCTTCTCCTTTATGGGGGTTAAAACTTTCTTCTTTGAATGCTGTGGCTCATGTTCATTCTGGGTCTTTAATTCAATTAAAGACTAAAAACAATTTTTAAATAAAGTATAATTTGCAAAGAACTTTCCTTCATAATTAAGAAAAAACTTGATGATGTTTTTTTTTAGAAATATAAGCTTCCTTTCCCAGTTTGGATATTCCTAGTCTATTTTTCTTCATAATTTGCAAATTTTCTTATAGCATCTAGGACCAGAAAAAGGAAGATGAATAGGAAGGAAATATGATATCCAGAGCTGAGTACCAAAATACATCTTAATAGGTAAGAAGTCAGTTATAGTACCCATGGCAAAGCTTGTAAGACAATACAATGGAGGCCTACTCCCTCCCCCCGCAGAAGAGAGGCTATTATGTTCCTCCTTCTCTTTACTACCCTCTAAAAATAAATGCATGTATAGTTTTTGAACTGTCATTTCAGTTTTCTATCGATAATTCACAAATCTACATAGAGATCGGTTCTTTGAAAGAACACTGACTCTGGAGATATCAACAAAGAATATATGCATTCAAATAAATGCCCAACTCAGTGGCCTCGGAGTACATAGGCTGCAAAGCATTAAGAAATCAAGAAGCTTAGCTTAGCTTAGGCTGAGTCGACCAAAATAGCTACCATTAATGCAGATTCCCAGCAACTAGGTATAAAAATGATCTCCTTTGAGGGGAGTTGTTTCCATGCCATTAGTCACTGATTACGAGTTGGGAACACAGTGAAGTTTCCACTGCATAGGAAAATGGTCCTGAAAAGTGCTGCAAGGTCACTTACAAACCAGTCGTGGAAGCCACAGTGCTTTAAAGAAAGTGCTTGCCAGGAAGGAAAGACCTACAAAAGTCTTCTCAAATTCAACCTCTGAGGACCCTCCTGGGGATGCAGTGGGTTAGGACGCAGCACTACAAGCTGGCTGTAGCTGCTTCAGTAAAGTTCAATTCCCCGGCCCCGGAGGTGACCCACATGGCGAGGCAGACCTCTCCTGGCCCGCCCGCTGCGCCCCTCAGCAGTGTACTTCATCAGTCTGCCTGTTCTGCACCCCACTCTGTCTCTGGGGAAGCCTCTCGCCACCCCTGCAACTCTGGCCTGTACCCTAGTTCTGTATAAAAAAAAATCCCTTAAAAAAAAAACTCAACCTTTGTGAGTAATCATGAGAGCAGTGGAGGGGAAGGAGGGTTGCTACTTGCCTGGGCATCTATGCCTTCCCTCTGCAGAGCCACAGACACTCCCACAGTCGGGGCTAGTTCCACAGGAATAGGTGCAAGCTTTTGCTTGGCTCGATTTGGAGGTTCAAGGGTAAAAGCACCCTCAACTGTAACTGGGCGCTGGTTGATTTCTGTACTACCCTTTTTCAGCAACCCAGTTAAGGGTATTTCTGTACTGCCAAGTGACTGATCTCCACAGCAGAGATGGATCTAGAATAAAAAGAATAATCAAAATACGGCTTTATAGTGTCTCCTTTCTCTTAAGCATGTAAGTTTAACAAAAAGTCATGAGTCACAGGCAGTGAGTCTAACAGAAGTTACCTTGTTTATCTTACTGACCTGCAGTGACCGAATCACAGTCTCACGATTGTGAAACTGGTGATGAAACACAGAGCTTACCAAGAACTCAGCAATGATGACATTACTTCTTTTTCACTTTTTGCTTTCAGTACTCAAATGTTACTGCCCTTTCTTCTGTTACTCTGGTGCTCTATGGTTACTCTAATATTTTATTATGCTACGATTCATACGCAGATTGTGTCACGAATACAATGACTTAAATAAAAAAAATACTACAAACACTTTTTTCTACTTCCATTTTAACATTAAACACAATTAAGTCGGTGGATCCAGCTCTACTTGGAAATTAAAGAACATCAGACACAAAACACTTTTGGCTTTTAGATTTTTAGATTTTAATACCTTTTCAAAAGTTGGGCACTCATTTCAAAAAGAAAGTTCAAAAAGGCTATTTCAAGTATATGATGAAGCTTTGCCAAACTTAGCACTGATGTGATGTGAATAATAAACAATTACTACATGAAAATACTTTCAGTTCTAACATCAGCAATACCTATAACTTATTTTTTACCAACTTCCCTCTACTTATCTGTAACCTACTTATCTGTAACCTAGTTAAAGGTAGGTGCAATAATGGAGAGAAAGGACTTTTATGTCTTAAATGTCTATGAGAATCAGCTAACAAAAGGTCAATGTTTTTCATAAGGATTTATTTGTTCTATAGGAATAAAAGTAAAAAGTGCTTTTTTCCTGCATTTCATTATTGTATATAACCTTGTTTTATTTTTTCAGCATCTTGGATTTCTCAGAATCACCTCTAAAAATTCAGCTCCATTAACCTGTCATCCTCTTCACATCTTATCCCCAAATACAGGTAGTTTTAATGACTCGTCACCATGAACAAGTCACCATCGAAGCCTATATTTCACTATTCCAACTCAGTCTTATTAAAAGTGATTGTAACAGAACAATAATTTTCACTCGGTTAAGGTTTACTTTTAAACAGACTTCAATTTAAAAAAAAAAACAAAAACTCAAATACTCAAGTCAGGCAGGTTTTAGAAAGCAGTTGTCTCCCTCATTGCTTTTCATAGTAAGGTGTATAAATTCTGAAGCCTACTGTCTCCACTAACAATAACAAAACTTGGTTGAGCTCCCGACTCTGCGCTCCAAGATTTTATTATAAAGAACCGATAGCTGATATACCACTTTTCTCAGTAAGCTCCGAAAATTAAGAGACGCAGCGAGATGCCCTCTACTACTGAAAGGAGTGTAAGTACCTGTCTAACCCTTGAACAATTTGTTCAGTAGTCAGTTTTCAAGGAGTAGTTTTTAAGTCTGTCTTAATACCATCTACTTTTTGTCTACAGTACTTACCTGTAGTTTTGATTGAAGAGCCAGGTAAACACGAAGAATTTCTACACTGCTACGTATTCGAACAGATGCTCTCTCTGGCTCAAAGTTTGGGTTGATCAAATCATTGAAGGGTTCATTTGTAACATCATTTCCCAATAAAGAATAGTAAAAGAAAAATTCAGGCTGTCTCTCTGGAAGTTTCATAGTACATGGAATTAACTAAACATATGAAGAAGAAGAGTATTACTTAATGGTTCATAAAGATACACTTACGATAGCAAATAAACTCCAAAACAGATGTGATAGTTTCTTTCTAGTCTTCAGGTTAACCACGTAGAATGAATCTTGGTGAAATTATCACCCAAAACTAATTTGATTAACTTTAAAGGCTTCTGTATGAGTATGTTACTTCACAAAGTTGTAGTGCCACAGCCACGTGTGACCTGAGACTCTGTTACAACTGCCTTCTTAAAAATCCTTAACATTCCCTAGAACATTGTTAAAAATAACAGTATACTTAACAACTGACAGGCTCATCAACAGGACTGACAAATATAAGATAGTTACAAAGTGTGCCCCGAAATCATGATAAACTGACACAAAAATGCTTTAAAGTGCACACTGTTAGGTAAATACAAAGATACAGGACAATTTGCTTCTGTGAGACTAAAAATATGAATCCCTCAGGTGGTTAATACTCCAACTTCCACAATCAGACCCCAAACCCTAAGCCAGCTTCTGTCAATTACTATGAAACCCGACAAGTCACTTAATCAGTCTTCGCCTCCATTTATTTATGAGATGGTGGAAGAATTAAAGGTCTACATGTTCAAGTCCACCTGTAGGTGAGCGCACGGTCAGCTACTGCTATGCGAATATAGAATGAGGAAAACAGTGTACTACCCTCAGTGACTGTCTCCGAGGAGAGTAAAGGAGACCTTTGTTTTTTTTACTGAAAATAATAAAAATAAGAAATGATGGCCCTTATATATTTCATAGTGCATTTTAGTCTAAATCCCACTAAAAGAATATTCTTTTAAATATCTTTCATTATCCTTGTTTGTATACATGTTGGTTATCATGTCATTCATGGAAGGACATATGAGTTGTTTCTGCCTTTTGATTAATATGAACAGTGATATTGACATAGTTTTTATTTGAACACGTGTTTTCATTAATTTTGGTAAAATTCCAGGAATGAAATGTTGGGTCTTATGGTAAATGTTCGATATTTTGAAGAACCTATTTGGCTTAATTTTAAGTAAAGAAAGCCACCAAGGCCCTCCCTGGTGGCGCAACGGGTTAAAGCACTGCACCAAGAAGCTTAAGCCACTTCCGCATGAGTTTGATCCCTGCCTGCCCCGGAGGTGACCACATGGTGTAGCAGACCTCTCCTGACCCGCCCACTGCTCCCCTCAGCAGTGTACTTCGCTGATCTGCCTGTTCTGCTCCCCACTCTGTCCCTCTCACCCTCCACATCTCTGGTCTGTATCCCAGTTCTGTATAAATAAATAAATCTTAAAAAAAAAAAAAAAAAAAAAGCTAGACCAAAATAGTGTTTTGTGAGAACTGTAGTAGTTCAAGTTGTGATTTTAATAGGCCACTTGGCCTCATCTAGCTTTTGTGGTAACAACAGCTTCTCACATGTAATTAAAATGCCCAACAAATACTTTGTATCATATCATCCTTCATGCACATCTGGAAAGTTGGCAGTAATAGCACTTTACAAGGAACAAAATTCAAGCCTCAGGATAAGTTGCATAAATTAGTAAGTCTCGAGAATGAGCCTTGAGCTCAAATCACCTTATTCCAAAACCCCTCAAGAGGCAAGAGAGCATAATATACCACACAGAGAACTAGAAAGACACCATGCAGTCAGGAAAGCTTAACCATTTACTTCCTATGAACAATCTCTCAAGTAAACAATTCCCTAAATTTGTGATCGAACCAAATGCCACATTAGCGCTACATTAGCGCAATACCTACTTTATAGAACAGATGAAAATATTGTTTAAAAAGTGGTAATTTAAAATGTTTACATATATTCAATGGCAGTACAAATTCAGGAGACTCATTATCTAATATGTACTGTGATGTGGTCATAAAGAATGAGCATCTGGCCACCACCCACATCAGAGTAGCCTATGATCCTGGGGTGTTTATAGGAGAGCTTTATGAAGAGAAGAAAAGCAAGCCCACACATAAAGGGCCAAAGAAGAAATGATAGTAAAGCAAGGAATAAAGCTCAAAGAATACCTGTAAAAAGTGCTTTATGTAGTAGAGAAATCAGTAACACAAATCAGTAACACTAAGAAAAATCTTCCTGAGAAACCTTGTAATATGTGGTCACTAACTGCTTTTTTACCAACTTCCCTCTACTTATCTGTAACCTA